CCTCCTCGATGCCTTATTAAGAACCACTACTCCAGAGAGATGTAGGACAGCCAGGATCTACTGTTTGCTTTGGGAAAGAAGAAAGTGGCCACGAGGAGACATTGCTGAATCATGGCACCACACTGGGAACCAGAACGTTACACCACCACTCTGCAAAGCTGTGGACTCTGGTGGGTTCTCCAGTGGCCTCCCCTGTGTCAGGAGCCCTAATCTGTAACCTTATGGTACAGGGAGATAAAAGGAGACACCTTATTGGTTTTGTTTATCGCTAGATCTGTTAGATTTTTAGTTGAGTATTGTTTTTGCTGTTGTCACCTTGGCTGTCTGATTCTGGGGAAAAGGAGGTTAGAATGCTCTAAATAAATGCACCTTGCCTTGTGTAAGATTGGCGATGCTGATGCCTTGAGTGGTAGAGCCTGCATAGCTAACTTTCTCTTTTGAGCAATGATTTTGTGAGCGGAGCAGCTGCTTTAAGTCTTTTATCCTGACTCCTCCAGACTGATGTAATCTGTTCTCCAAAGCTGCTGCCTTCATTGCAGATTTCAGCGTTAATAACATGCAATACACTGCACAATCTGTGGCTCTCATCATTCTTATAAGGAGGAACCTTTGGCTAAAAAACACGGCTAATGCTTCCAAGGTGAACATCTGTTTCATTCCCTTTTGGTGGAGGGTTTTTACAGATGCTGCACCAAGACCAAAGACCAACCAGATAGCTGTGCCATCCAAAGCCAAGATGGATGAAAGTAAAATGGATGGGCAGGGGCTTTCTCCTTTTTACCCCTTCATGTCCATGTTCAAGGCTAGGGACCTGAGAGACAGCCAAGTCCTTAAAGCCCTCGTAAAACAAGGCAACATTCTCCTGACCCCAGACTGTGTCCCATAGAACTGAACAGAAGCCCTTCAAGCATGTCATCCAACCCCCAGTGTGTGTGGTTGGGGGGGGGGGGGCGAATGCTCAAGCAATTAAGCATGATGACAAGAATGACCTATTTCACAACTTTCTTGATAGCTTCATGACCTTTCCACACTCCAGGACACCAGAGAAACATTGCAAACTTTTCCTCACTATCTTGACACTAAAGCAATAGAGCAGGTTCTTGAGAGGCAAAGATGCTAGGGTACCTATTTTGTCATGCCCAAGAAAAATGCAGATTAGACTGAGGGTGATCCTAACTCTAACAGTGCCTAGTGGGGAAGAGGAAATTCAGAGTGGAGACCTTGGAAACTGTGCATAAGATGGACTTCCTTGGCTTTATCATCCCACTGGAATATTTGCATTCCATCCATCAACAGCATAAATAATGCCTCAGGTTCTGATATAATTGGTTGCAGCAGTAGTTGCAGACTCTCCTCAACCCCATAAGTCTGCGTAAAGGTCATAGTTGTCCTTAGTCACACAATTTCACCTTCACTGAATTCATATTTACCCATACTAGGTGACCTGTGCCCTCCTCCCAGTCAAGGGTGTTCTTATGCCTGTGTGTTGTACTCACGGACGCATGTGTTCCTACTCAACTACAAGCAAGAATTGTCTCATCTCAAGCCATAGCCATTAATATGTCAGGGCAGTTGCATTAAATCAAAGCAGTCAAATTGTTACCTTCTGCCTGACAGGATACAAGATGCTATCCTGCAAATACACCAGAAGGCCATGGTGTGTGGTATGACTCTTGAAAGATCCAGAATCTCATGATTGCATGCATCAGCAGAGTGTCATGGGCCCAGCTAGATCTCCTGGCCTCTTGATTGGATATGTCTTACATTTCAAAGTAGTATATCCCAAAGATACCAAATCATCAGTACGTGTACCTCCAGAGAGTCATCATACTCTCTGTTGGTGGCTCCAAATTCAGAACCTTCAACTGGGCAGGCCATTCAAGTATCCATTCCCAATTGAAATCATCAGAGGGTGCTGGCTTAGCTGGGTAGGGCTCTTACTGATCTCAGCCCCCCAGGTGGTCACAGACTGAAGCTGATCAGAGTTGAAATTGAGTGTAATTGAGGGCAGTCACTCTAGCCCTCCATTCCTTCAGGCACTAGATAGAGAGACAGTGCATCCTCATACTAACAGACAACACCAGGGCAAAGGCACATGTCAACTGCCAGGAAAGACTAGGCCCTGGTCTCTCCAACAGGAAGTTGTTCTACTGCATTGACTGGAGTGCCATTTATTTATTTTTTGGAGAATTTTTATGCCACCTCCTCAGGCAACTTGAAAACCTAACATTCAGAAATACATCCAGAGCACAAAACATTTGACAGCTTAAAATGCATTTCTTAGGCTAAAAACAGGCTGTAAAACGATGCTTTAAAAAAAATAAAATCACCCCCTTAATTAAAAACTCTTGTTGAACAATTATTTTTTGCCTGGTGCCTACAAGAAAATAATAGACATATTATAGGAGCCCCAAGGGCAAGGGCATTCCATATGTGAAGTGCCACCACTGTCCTCGATCAGATTCTCTGTTGGCCAACTGTACCCCAGTTTTGTCTGGATTGAGCTTTGGTTTATTGGCCCTCGTCCATCCCATTATTGTCTTGAGGCATCTGTTCAGGAGTTCCACCTGACTCCACTGTTCGGAAGAAGAGGTGAATGCCATCTGCATGTTCGTAGCGTCTTACTCCAAATCCTCTGATGATCTGTTCAAGCAGTTTCATGTAGATATGAAATAGCATGGAGAACTTGCTGTTCGCAGGTGAGGTGAAGAGGTCCAATATCTGTACCCTCAGCCTGGGTATTGCCTGAAAAATCTTTTTGGCTCAGAGTTCATTCTCCTGATACCAGTAGATCAGCCAACACTGAGGTGGTGTGCTAAAATAAAGGCCATTTCAACAATGCTTTAGTCGTCACCATGACTTACAATCTTCATTGGGACAGTGACAGGAGGAGTTGATGCTCCTGCACCTTTCACAGCAGTCTTCAATGCCATTGACCGTGGTATCCTTCTGGAGAGGCTGGGTGGGTGGGGGGGGGCACCGTGTCACCGTGGTTCTGCTGTTGACTGATTCCAGAAAGCAATCCGTGGGACTGCTGCTGGGTCTGTGGCATTTATACCGTGAGATCCCTCAAGGATCCATCCTGTTTCCAAGTGTTCTGATCCTTTCTTCATCATCCATCAGGAGAAAGGCCTCAGGAACTAAAATTGATAGGTGGGTAAACACATGCATTTCCCTGACACATTAGACGCAGCTTCTCTGCCTTTTTCAAGGGGTTATGTAGCCAGGACACATCAACCTCTGCTTCCCTTTCTACAGACCTTTCCTGAAGGGAGGTTTTGGGCAACCACCCAGGCTACCTCTTCCATGCTCTTCAGACATTGCATTATGGACACCTGTGCCTCAGCCAAAGCTGAATTCAGCAGAAGGATGCTCCAGCAGGTTCTTCCCCATTAAGCTCCTTGGACCTTTCCTTCCCAGGATAACACAGCTTTCCAACATCACTTCCAAGGATATCCTCCTCCAATGATGGGAAATGCAACACTGGGCTTATCATAAGCATTTGACCTCATCACTTGATTTGAGGAGGTCACTTTCCACCCAGGTCGTGACCAAGAGTCTGTTGAGGAACCAGGACCTAAAGTATGAGTTGTAAACAAAGGCAATAGAGGAAGCTATAGTGGAGTCTGTCACTTGTACGTGCTACTTGATTAAGTACAAGGGCTGTTCAGTTTCTTCTGTGCTGATGCAAGACATGCTTGGGGATCCATCTCTCCTCGAAGCAGGAGGACTACATGAGATCTTCAGCACAGGCTTATATGTGAAGTGGAGTGGCAGGAGTAAACTGTACAGGGATACCCCCCCAGTCCACCAGTGAAAGGAAATCGTCGTCATAAGTCCAGTGCTTTAATCGTTGCCTGGTGTTATTACAGAAATATTGGAACTCTTCTGTGTACCTGAAATAACATGCAGTCTTAGAATTCTGTCTTTAACTCCTTAAAGCAATTAGACATTTGGCATATTACCCTTCTGTATAATTGTCAGATAGCTCTATTTGTATATTGATCTAAACAAAAGTGGCCTCAGTGTAAATCTGTCATGCAACTTTAATTTTAAACTATATACATCAAACTTATTTATCTTGTGCATTTCTATCCCACCTTTTCTCCAGGGATGCTCAAGGTAGCATACACTGTCCTCCAGCCTCCAGTTTAGGTTAAGCTGAGAGAGAATGACTGGCCAGAGGGGTCATACAGTAAACTTCATTGCAAAATAGGGATTTGAACTCAGGTCTTCCCCCCCCCCCCCAATCCAACACTCAGTTCAGTGTTCTTAACTGTGACACCACAGGGATCAACTGTGACACCACAGGGCTCAAAATGCATCTGAATGCAAAGTTTGTTATTATTTTTTGGCAAAAGACATAGTTCAGAGTAGGTTGTATACACTGAAATGTACGTATAGTGTACTTGACAAATAGAATCTAAAACCATTCCATGAGAAAAATCAGGGTTCAGACGTTGATTTTAATAGTTTAAGAGAGACTTCAATGTGAAAAGGTCACATTGCAACTTGAAAACTGTCTGTCGTTCCTGATTTCTGTGTTTGAGGTAGGAGATGTTCCCTTTCAAAACATTTGTGATTAATTCTTACGTATTTTACCAAAATTTGTCATATATAGCAAGGGGGGGGAGGGTGCCTAGCAAGGTCCGGGAGGTGATCTCGGAAGACTCACTGGGGTGAAACGGAGCCCATCTCCCTCGAGCATGTGTCTGCTGCAGACTGTTGTTTCTCGAGCGCTACCACCTCCTGTGTCTGTGCTTATAGGAGGTAGCAAAGAGAAAAAGACGTTTTGCTCAGTCACGAAGTAGGTTTTCTGGTAGTTCCCAGAGCCGGCATCAGGTCTTATTAACCAAAGTCCCTCTTACCTGATAGAAGGCAGTCATGTCTTTATTAATGTAGATCCTGGTCTCTGTTGGGGTAATAATATATTTGTATCGGAAGTAGTCGCCAGCCGAAGCAGTGTTTCAGTCCCTTTTTCTGCCCGCTCCCCTCCACAGGAAAGGGGACTACCACAGGTATCTTGCTGAGTTTGCCACAGGAAATGACAGAAAGGAAGCTGCTGAGAACAGCCTGGTGGCTTATAAAGCTGCTAGTGATATCGCAATGACAGAACTTCCTCCAACACATCCTATCCGCCTAGGTCTCGCCCTCAACTTCTCTGTTTTCTACTATGAAATTCTTAATTCTCCTGACCGTGCCTGCAGGTGAGTCCTCCGAATGCGGGAGAGTACGTGGCGGGGTGGGTAGGTTTGCCAGTGCTTCACTAGCTACCCGAGTGGCATCTTTCCTCCCTTTCCCATGAATAATGGAAAGCTTAGCACTCTAGTGCTATTGATTTGTTTCTCTTTTAAGGCCTTCACTCAGCATTAGGGCTCTGAAACTTCCATCTACCTACATCTGTGCTCTTATTCATGAGTGATAAACTTGGTCTTTAGTTGCTTAATATTTGTACCTTGCCTCACAGCAAATCACAGTTCCAAGTTTAAAACCATACACAATGCAGCAAGACCCCTCTCCCCTAGGGAATGCCTCCATTAGAAGCCCTTGCAGATAAAAGTGTCTTACAGTGTCTCCTGAAGACTTCTAAGGATGATGGCCCCTTCACCTTGTAGATCCCACTCCACAAGGTGGGAGCCACAATAGAGAAGGAGCAGACTCTAGTAGATGCCCAAGTGGGCCACCTTAAGCAGGGCAACAGCTATAAAATGGCAACTAGAAGACTGCAGTCGGTTCAGGGAGATACATGGGGAGAGGCTTCCTTCAGATATGTGTGTCCTAGGCAATGTTCCCTCTAAGCTGTGGAGTCCTGTGAGCAAAAATTCTACTTTGTGAGCTCCTGGCATTAAAGCTGTGAGCGAGCGATTGGGCTACTGCATAAATCAGTTTGCTCTGGAGCCATCTCTCGTGAGCTGAGACAAAAATGTGTGAGCCGGAGGCTAAAAAACTGTGAGCTGGTTCACACTAACTCAGCTTAGAGGGAACACTGGTCCTAGGTCGTGAAGAGCTTCAAAGGTTATAACCAGCACCCCAAACTGAACTTGGGAACAAATAGTCCAGCCTCCTGTTTTGCTCAATGGCCAACCAGATGCCAAGAATGCCCACAGCACATGGGTCAAACTCCTCCCTCTTGCTCTCCCCGCCCCCCGGAGGCTTTCTGGTATAGTGCCTCCAGGCATTTGCTTGTTATGGGTAATGTCCACTGCTACATACTGTGGCAATAAAAGCCACAAGTGAATTATGCATTGCATGTCTATCTGAATCTCTTGCCCACCAGTCTCATGGGGTTCTAGAGTAGGAAGAAGTTTTGTCCGCAGAGTCCATAACCTCCCCTCTTACCACATTGTTTGTCTCTAAACTAAAAAGCCTTAGCCTTTCCAAGTAGGGAAGGTACTTAGTCATTTGTATTGCCCTTTCCTGCACATTCTCTAGCTCTGCATAGCCCTTTTGAGATGGGCGACCAGAACTCTACACAGTGTCTAAATGTGGTCAGCTATTGATCTGTACAACTGCATTATGAAACTGACTTGTTTTTTGTCTCTCAATTGTCTCTAGCACAGAATTTGCCCTTTTCATTATTTATTTATTTAAAACATGTCCATGCCAACTTTCTACCCAATTCCAGGTTCCCAAGGCAGCAAGAATTAAAACATGTCAAAATTTAAAACAACATTTAAAATACAAATATATTAAGTATTTTAAACAATTAAACATACAAAAGGGGAGGAGGGCCAGTGAGTGAATGCCAAAACAAAAATGTCCTCATCCTCTGGTGGAAGACGAAGACTGAGGGAGACAGATGAAATTTCCCTGGGGAGGGAGTTTCAGGGTTTTGGCATCACAGCTGAGAAGGCCCTCTCTCATGCAGCCACCCAACTAGATGGGAGAGGCACCCAAAGTCGGGGCTGCAAAGAATGAGCAAAGAGCTTTTGAAGTATTGTCTTAGTCCAGGGCTCTTTTTGTAGCAGGAACTCCTTTGCATATTAGGCGACATACCTCTAAGGTAGCCAATCCTCCAAGAGCTTACAGTAGCCCCTGTAAGAAGAGGTCTGTCAGCTCTTGGAGGACTGGCTACATTAGGAATGTGTGTCACCTAATATGTAAAGGAGTTCCTGCTACAAAAAGAGCCCTGCCTACAACCCAAAATGTCTTCCCAAGCCACCAGTTCAGACCCACGTGGAGTTAGGTTCTGTGGCCCCAGCGTGCATCACTTCACACTTGCATAAAAACCTCATTTGCCACTATGCCGTTTATTTGTCTAGCAATATCTTTCTCACCTTTCCATAGTTCAAGAGTTCTTACAGCTCCTCAGAATAATAATACATCAATCCAGTCAGGAAACTGCGGAACAAATACCCATCTGTTAGTGTGACTGAGCCTCAAACTTTTGGGCTTGTGTGCTCCCTTCCCTCTTCCACTCATGCATGCAAGGACTGTCCAACTCCCAGGTCACTGTGATGTCCACATTTAAATGCCTAACGATCTTTATTTCATTTGTCATCTTTCTCATTGAAACTCAAGTCAAGTTACAAAGTTATAAAAGCAATGCAATAAAATTGGATGAACCGAATGCACATCCCTAACAGGCACTGGATGACAAAGTTCTACTTCTCAGATCTCTAATTGAATGTGGCAAACTATCTTACCTACATGGTAAGGTATCTGTGTTTCTTAGCACCAGCTCTTGCCCACCTCCCAGAGTTAAATTTTTGGCTTTAGTCTGTTAAGTACAAAGGCCATAGATTTACAAAACAGGTCTGTGGCCACAGTTGCTTTCAGCAGAAGGGATCCCTGTTCAGAGGGGCTGCCCAGGTACAGCCTTCTCCCTTTGTGATGCAGCACACCTTTGAACTGCTTTTCGAGCGACAGCAGGGTATAGCGTTGCACTCTCGCTCTCTTCTCCCGAACCTGCATCCATACGTGCTTCCAGGTCTAGCTTTCTAGTCTGTGCTAATCTGTATCAAGCCCACAAAGTACGAACAGGTTGCTTACCCGTAACTGTTGCTCAAGCAGTCACATGACCTGTTCACCTTACCTGCAACCAGTGCTTTCCTTTTGTTGCATTGGACCCTTCTGGAAGGAACTAATCTCTGCACAAGCAGGTTGATTGAGGGTTAGTAGGAAATATCCTACCCATTATCCCCTTAGATTTGGACTCGGAGCAAACTCTCGTGTCCCCATTGCTTCTTCTCTCACTCACAATAACTGAACACACACACTGCTTGGGTATTACAATTATCCATGCCAGCTAAAGGACCCAGACACAAAATGTCCGCCCCCCGCCCCCCCGTGTGACCAGTTCCTAACCACCATAGCTCCTCACCAATGGGACAGTCCCTAGTCTCTTCCTTCATTGCTGTGGCAAGAGGAAGAAGTGTTCATCCTGGGCCACTATGAGACGCTCGCAGCAGATAGTCTCTTCCAGGGCTGGGTGCAGGCCCCAGTTCGACCTCCCTCAAGGTGTTGCCCTCTCCACCCAGATTCTGGTGATCCGGGGTGTTTTGCCACTGTAATCATGCAGTGCGTTTATTGCAGGTTGGCAAAAGCAGCTTTTGATGATGCTATCGCAGAACTGGATACACTGAGTGAAGAAAGCTATAAGGATTCTACACTTATCATGCAGTTGTTACGTGATAATCTGACACTATGGACTTCAGACATGCAGGGTGATGGTGAGTAACCAGTTGATGCTTCTGCTTAATCTTGACGTTAGAGTTTCTGGCTAGATTGCAGAATGAGGACAGCGCCGTGTGAGGATTAATTGTGCCCTCTTTTGGAAGTTCCCTGCTGCAAAGCTAACAGGGAGTCTTGTTTCTGTAGAGATAATCAACCTGTCTGCGTTTGCTTTCTCAGCCATAGCCTGCAAGTAGTTGGAAGTCTTTGTTGCCCCTTATACCATCCAGAGACTAAATAATGTGTGGTCAGGTTGCCATATCCCGCCAGTGGCTTGTCTTGTGCATCATTAGTTCCACACTAAGAATGTGGCCTAGACATGAAGCGTTGGAAGCCTGGCCATACTTTCCACAAGATAATGTTTCCAGAAGTAATGTGTCAGGATTAATCGTCACCCTAATTGCTCCTTCTTAGAAAAGACAGCGGACTAGTACATAATTGCAAATTCCCTAGGAGGTTTGGTGTGTGTGTTCCATCTCCAGGTTACTGGAAAAGTAGTTTCTTTTGACAGTATTTCTAGTGTGTGTGAAATGGCTGAGGTGGTCTCAGATATGCATACCTCTTAGCTTCCCGTTTCCTGGTCTGTTCGCCACCTGATGCCTGCAGAAGCGGAACTGGATCCCCCCCCCCAATTTCACGCTGCTCAAAATACTGAACTCGTGTTCTTCATTTGTTATGTTTGTATCTTCTCTGTAATTCCTGGTTTTTCCCCTTTTCTGTTGTGTAGATTCCTAAAGGATTTCACCTGTTCATTTTCTAAATCCTACTTTGTAAGTCTTCACGATGACTCTGTGAACATCTCAGTTTTCGTCTCTCACTAATCCCGCTTGTGTCTTGGATCTATTCTGGGGTTGAGTGCACTCTCTTCTTCCCCCTCCAGCCTCATTGTAATTCAAGGCCAGTAGCCTGGATGGCCCAGGGTAGCACAACCTCATCAGATCTCAGAAGCTAAGCAGGGTCAGCCCTGGTCAGTATTTGGATGGAAGACCACCAAGGAAGACTACTGTCACTACACAGAGGCAACTGTGAGGTAACTGCGCTAGAAAATATTTCAATAAACAATCACAAAATTTATACAAAAATGTGTACAAAAATCATATAAATGCACAAGGCAGTTGAAAATGGTGTGACGATGGTCTCCGGAATGTTCTATCATTTCGATACTATTCTTCTTCCGAAAGTGGATGAAAGCAGCGACTCTTGGTCTGTCATTTCAACAAGTAGGTATCAAAAATGTCATTAATATTCACCGATGTCTCATAACTTAGTTGCAAGAAATTCTCTGAAAGAATGTTCCTAGGGCAAAGTGCTTGTATAATGCCTTGAACATTCTTTCAGAGAATTTCTTGCAACTAAGTTATGAGACATCGGTGAATATTAATGAAATTTTTGATACCTTCTTGTTGAAATGACAGACCAAGAGTCGCTGCTTTCATCCACTTTTGGAAGAAGAATGGTATCGAAACGATAGAACATTCTGGAGACCATCGTCACACCATTTTCAACTGCCTTGTGCATTTTATATGATTTTTGTACACATTTTTGTATAAATTTTGTGATTGTTTATTGAAATATTTTCTAGCGCAGTTACCTCACAGTTTCTTCTTTTTGCGGTCTGTTCTGTGACTGACCATCATTCTTGAGCCACTACACAGAGGCAGGCAGTGGCAAACCACCTCTCAGTGTCTCTTGCCTTGAAAACCATACAGGGTCGCCATAAGTTGGCTGCAATTTGATGGCAACAACCCCCCTCCAAAGGACTGGATATTTAATTTTAAGTGTTGTCAAGTTGCAGCTGACTTACACCAACCCCTCATGGAGTTTTCAAGGCAAGAGATGAGAAGAGGTGGTTTGCCATTGCCTGCCTCTGCGTAGCAACCTTGATCTTCCTTGGTGGTCTCCCATCCAAGTACTAACCATGGCCAGCCATGCTTCATTTCAAATCTCTGATGAGCTGGATCTAACCTGGGTTATTCTGGCTGCTATGGACTTGATAGGCATTCTGAAATGCTTGGCGGTTCACCTGGTACTCTGGTGATAGGACAGCAGAGCATGCTTGGATTTTTCTGTTCATTCTCTAACTGTAAACATTAAATTCCAGTTTGTTGATTTCTCCTGGGCTTGCCCTTTCATTGGCTCCAGTCCTGACGGTCATATTCTCTGCAGAGACAAGCTCCTCGTAACTGTTGAGAGGACTGCCTTGGAGTGCCAAATGCAGTACTTCTGCATGACGTGGGCTTGTCTCAAGCAACATTTGATGTGTGTTCACTGATATTAGGGAACCGTGTGTGTGTATGGCAAGAGTGTGTGTGTATGCGTGTGTGTTTAGCCAGGCATGACTTGTCTGTGACAGAGCACAGTAGAATAAGCTGGGGGTTTTTTTCATTGCATGCTCCAGTCTGGTCAGGTGACTCCAAATTAATAGGAAGCGCGTGAGGATGACAATAACTGTACATGTCCTTGGGCCCAGGGCTCCTTGGCTGCCCTCCCATGTGTGGGGCTTGCTTGCAAAGTTGCAGGTTTGCAGGCTTGACTAACACCGTATTGCTTCCAAGACACCGAAACTGTGTTTTTTTTTCTCACTGCAAGAGGGTTGATTTTGAAAAACATGAAAGTGGTTTCTCTTGATGATGGAAGTGAGGTGAAACTTAACTTTGGTGGCTGGCAAGTTTTTCCCAGACATAAAAACTGGGGCTTTGTACCTTGTATTCTTCCCTTGACCAGTCTTTGCATTCCCATGGGGTCATTTCCTTGTCCACATATCAGTTACTCCAGTGCCGAATGCCCTGTCCTCATTTGTGGCAGGCTGAGTTCTCTGGAAGATCCCAAGAACCAGCAGAAAAGCAGAGCTTACCCACAATCCACACAGTGCCTTTTATTAGGAGCAACTGGAAAGCTTACTGGGATGGTTATTAATAAAAAGTATTCCATGGATTGGGAGCTAGTTTTTTTGTTTTGTTTGTTGTATTTTATTTTGTACAGGCATGGCTGCTAACACATTCTTTCTCCGTTTATCTTCTCACACAAGCCTCGGACTGACTTGACATTGTTATTTTTTTTTCTCCTTTCCAGGTGAAGAACAGAGTAAAGAAGCGCTGCAGGATGTGGAAGATGAGAACCAGTGAGACATAAAGGCCAATAAGAGACCCCCCCCATCTCTGTCCCCTCTCAACTCTTCCTCCCCCCACCCTCCCCAGCCCCTCAGTGTCACTGGGAGCCCATCCAATCGATTGTTTGCGGTGGCTCCCAGAATTTAGGTTCCTGCCCTGTTGGTTTAATTTTTTTTTTACACAATTGAAAATTTCTTTAAAGGCAAGAGTGAATGTCTGTGGATTTGACTGGTGCCAGTGTTCAGTTTCCTTAAGACACTAACCGGGACTGGCTGCATAGAGGCTTTTTTTTTCTTCCTTGTGTCACTGTGGTCTTCTGTCAGGGGTCAAAGGTGACATCTGGAAGCCGTTAGAAATCCTAGAGGAGGCTCGTTGCACTGTGTAAAGGGTGCACATGGTGGCAATTTTTTTCTCTCCTTTTTTTTTTATAATTGTTTAAACAATTTTATACCAGTGTTTAAAATTAATTGGGCGTTTTGCTTGAAGTTACAGGTTGCATTGAAACAGTTCTTTGTAATGGTTTTGCTGTAAAAGAGAACAACACCAACAAACAGACAAACGGGAAAAAACCAAACTGTGCTGAGATCTCGCTGCAACAGACAGTGCTGGTAGCAGTTCAGCAATCCGTGGCTGCTCATTCTTGCCTTCTCATTTTCCCTCCAAGCAGGTTAGCATTGAAGTTGACGTTTAAAAAAAAAAAAAAAAGCCTGCATGTGTGTTCAATATTTTTCTCTCCCCTACCCCCCCCCCCTTCGCTAGCTCAACCTCTTTTGTTCAGTATGTGTAACTTGAAGCTAATTTGTACTACTGGATATCTGACTGGAGCCACAGATACAGGATCTGTATTGTTCTTACTGAAACACAGCATGGAATTAACATTAAACTTAAATAAAACAACCCTAAATTAAAATGATGCCAAATACTACCGCTACTTTTCCCGGGTAGCTGTTTTAGCCAGAGATGCAGGTAGAACAGGGAGCAGGGGGGGAAAGAAAGAGAGAGATTTCAGGGAGAGCCGTTGCCAGGAACTTAGTTAGAATGTCCCAAACGAGACTGTGCAGATCTAAATGAGTAGCTGTATGTCACGCACAAACTTGGGCACTGGACCCATCTCAGGCGGCTCGTCTGCTTAAATGTTTCAACCCAAGGAAGTTCCAGTAATGCAGAGAGGCATACCCAGAAGACTGCTCATTGGAGCTTGCATTCAGGTTGAGCTAGATCACACCCTTGAAAACCACCCTCTCTGATTTCTACCAACTCTTTCTTTAAACGTTCTCAGCTGTAAGCAGTGTTTGGTCCCTTTTAGCCGTGTGCTGGCAAAACACTGCAGGGATTGTGGGGAAAATCCTACTTAACAACACCCCCCCCCCCAAAGTGTTTTCTTGTGTCGCTTCAGTCTTCTTTCCTGGTAATTCTTCGCACCGTCCACCTTGTCTGAACTATCTCCTTGCCTTTAAGTTTCCTCTGGGCTTTCCCCTTGAACTGAGCAGCGAGAGTGTTGGATAAATAAAATGCTGTGTAAAGATCGTGCACCTCCGACTCTCTTCTGAACTGGGAAAAGGCTTCCGCTGCTGGCCATCAGCAGGCAGGGCTAGCAGCCCCCTTAATGTCCATCTGGGTCAAACCAGGGGGAGAGGCTGTGGCTGAGTGGAAGAGCTCCTGCACCAGGTGCTGTGTGAGCATCTTCTAGTGAAGAGAGCTCTTGGCTAGGAGGGCTTTGGAACAGCTCTTCCTCTCTTCCTGGGATCTGGGGGGCAGGCTTGTGTGCGTTAGGCTCCTATGTGTTTGGTAACCCTTTTCTTTGGGGGAGATGCCTCCAACATTGCCTCCCTCTTTGAGATGCTGTGGTTATTTGGGTCAGTACTGGACGGTCCGGTTGCTGTCTCTTGGCAGCTCAATGCATTCGGTGTTTCCAGGCTGCATTTTGTAAAGAAGATGCCCTCCCCAGTCTTTGCCTGGCAAAACTTTTCCTGAGCCTCACGGCACCATCCTCAACTGGCTCGCCTCCACTGTAAGGGCTGGACATGGAGCTTGCCTCTGGTTTAACAAGCCACTGCTAGTTCTTGACCCCTCCCGAGTATGCAGATAAAATGGGGGCCACGTGCTCTGAAGCCAGCCGCTTGTCGTTCGCAGAGCTGTGTGGCTTACCAGCGGGAGAAGGGTTCTCCCTTTAGCCCACCGTAGCTTGTTTCTCTTGTCCCTTGTGGAATAGTTGAGAACAAAGTCCCTGCTGTTTACCGAAAGGAGAGGATGGTGATGTCAGGCAGGGAAACGGAGTGTGAGTGACCCCTTTGGGCACAGGTTGCTCGAATTCCAAATGATACACGCAGCAGCAAAGCGGCCTGATACAGCTCTCAGGTCCAGGTCCAGATTTGCAAGAGCTCCGAGTCGGATGGGAGGTAGCGGCAGGGCAAGACCCCAACATTGCATTTTCAGGGGGGAGGGGGAGGCTGCTGTCAGAAGTGCCAGCACGAAATGGGTGCCCTGGTTCCTCGGTGTTTCCCCCCCCGTGCCATGGTGACAGATGCCCACCCGGAAGCGGCAGCTGCACTCCCAGGCTACTGAGCCCTGCAGGCGTGAGCGTTAATAGCCCTTTCCTCCCCTTCATGGCAAACATGTCACCATCTAGCCAGGTTGCTGAACTTGTTTTAAGACTGCTTGCTTTTAACTTTACTGCACTGTCCCCTCTCCTTGTCTTTAGCTGGAATCATACTTGTTTCTGAGGACCCCTCTTAGCTATTTTATGTGACACTGTTGCATTTCAGATGGCTGTCAGTGTGTGGGTATCTGTCCCCCCCAAACAAATGTATTATTTCCCACACTCCGCTTTTGTGCCAGGGTCCGTTCCCGTAGGCACAGAATAGGAAATAGCTGCTGCTTCCTCACTCGGAGGATGTCACAGCACAGGTTCAATAAGAAGCGGTTTGAGAGTGAAACATTTCCCATACATTTTTTTTTCTTGGGGGGGGGGGACCCCTGAAACTTCTGCTACATCAACATAACATGCATTATCTAAACCACACACAGAATTGTACTGTTTGGTTATATTTATGAGATTTTAAACTTCGTTTTTCAAGAAATAATTTCAAATATTTGTGGTGTCACAGGTGAAGCAAATAAGTATATCTTAGTGCAGTTGGAAAAATAAAAAAAAATTAAAAATGGAAATGTCAACAGTTGGGGCATTTTTATTACTTGGGCTTAGAAACAGGTTACTTGCCCTGCAGTCAGCGTTACCTAGAACAACACGAAAACCTGCAATCTCTCTTTTCCAGAGGTGACAGTGCGGAACAAGGAGCATATATACACAAGCAATGCACTCGCTTTCAAATGGCTTCCAATTCGTTGAGCAAAAAGAAGATGGTAGTATCTCTCTGCCTTCCACCTGAATAGTCACAGTGTTGATTTGGTAGAGTGGGAGAATAAATAATACGGCTTTGAGAATACTGCCATTCAGCTTCTTTCAGTGACGCAAAATGAATTTCTGATAATTTTTGACATCTCTGGCCTGAAGGGATGGAATGGACAACTTGCCTTGATTGAAACACGCTCAGATTGTGGGGGGAAATCTCCCTCACAATGGAGGGGGGGGTAGGGTTAGGCTCAGGAAGAATTGACACTCCCCAGCCTTTGCCTTCTTCCAGCTGGAGAAGACCCTGATGCTGGGAAAGATTGAAGGTTAAAGAAGAAAGGATGAGATGGTCAGACAGTGTTATCGGCGCAACGAACATGAAATTAAGCAAACTCTGGAGCAAGGCGAAAGACAGGAGGGCCTGGCGTGATGTGGTCCATGGGGTCGCGAAGAGTCGGACTCGACTGTGCGACTGAACAACAACAAAAAGAGCTGAAAGGCCCTGACCTGGATCTCAGAAGCTAAGCAGGGCCAGCCCTGGCTAGTATTTGGATGGGAGACCCATCAAGGAATCCCAGGGTCGCTATGGAGGCAATGGCAAAGCACCTCTGAACATCTCTTGCCTTGAAAACCTTAAGAGGATCAGCATAAGTTGGCTGAGACTCGATGGCACTTGACACACACGAGAGGAGAAAGACCTTGGTTAGTGGCGTGCCAAAAGAATTTCCAGGGAAATGCTGTGTCATCTGGCCATGTGATCAGCATCCATTCCCTTTTCATTTTTATTGCTCGTTTGCCTGCTAGATGAATAAGACAACATTGGAGCGGTTTTCTTGAGAATTTATTTTGTGCTAGTTGTGGCTGTTTTTTGTCTATTTAATTTAATTTAACCCTTGCCTTGATTCCCAGTGGATTTTTTAAACCCATTCATGTCCCCTGAAACAATCACCTGAGAAGTTCAGTTTGTATCAGGCATCATCCTTGGAATGCATGGAAGTGGGAAACCCGCAGCCAGGCTATAACGTACTAGGATGTTCCCCTCTAAAGAAATCCCCAGGGCCTAAGAAACAAGATAAAGGTGCTACCATTGCACAGGTGATGTGCTTTCCTGACATGCTTTCCCCATCCTCCTGGGGGTGGGTGGGTGTTACAGTGACAACAGGTTAACACTCATCTGCTGTTTGTGAGAATGAGGCTGTAATTGGTAGCGCCATCAGTATCCTTGCTCCCCTGGAGAAGAGGGAAATGCTTCTCGGGAGCCACTTTGTGCTGCATTGCCCTTTCTGATGGACATCCCAGAGGTAGCGATGCAGGCAGCTCATATTGTTATGAAGTAATAGGGTGGTCTAAAGATTTGCTATGGTCATTCTGGCACCAGAAAAACAAGAAGCTTGGGGGAGGAGTACTCAGTAGACACACACACACACACACACCCCCGAGTCACATAGGGATTTCAGCTTGGGTCTCCCAGGACCCGATCCAACCACTGAACCAACATGTGCTGACTAGAGATGTAAAATTTCCGGAAATTTTGAAGCTTGGGGGAAAAAAACCGTTTTTCCCCCCAGTTTTTTTCGGGGAGAAACGGAAATTTTAGGAAAAATTGAAAAAATGCTACATTAGCATTTCTTTTGTCTTTTCTAGATTGAAAGTCATTCTGTTACTTTAGGAACATAAAATATGACTATAGACATTTTACTTGGCATGAAATTATCACAACTAGCATATTAAAAATATAGTGTATCCAAACATTACAGACAGAATACCCACCCACATGCAAAAACAAAACTGAAACCTTTTTATTTTCTTCTGACAATCGCACCTCCTAAAGGAAGAACTGCATCTTGTTCTTGCATTGGAGAGGTCAATTTGTAACCTAGGACTTGCTTGTCTTCAGTGCACATAAATTAGATCAATCTGATACCTTGTCTTAAAATATTTTATTCATCATGTTAAAACAAAACGTTCCATAAGCATTTTTTTTCTTTTTCCAATTTTTTGGAAAAAAACCAAAAAAGGCTTCAGGAAAAAAACGGGGGTTTCCCCCAAATTTTTCCGTTTTTTTTTCCCGGGGCTTCACATCTCTAGTGCTGACTATTCCCGTAACTGGCATGCTTTGTGGCATGAGAAGGGCAGCCACAGAAGGACATGAGCGACCATGCAAGAGTGACGACAAGGAAGCTGTGTCTTCTCTGCAGTCGCTTTCTCAGCCAGTCCCTACAGTTAGTCAAGAGTGGGAAGGCTGCTTCAGACGGGCACCTGCTCAACAAATCCAGTAAACATGGGTGGGTCTTGCTGGGACTAAAATACAAGCAGCTAAGAACCTTGTTCCTCATCAGCAGTCATTTTTGAAATCGCATGTGAGATGGTTTCACTCCCTCATCATATGTAGAAACCTTTTTCTTGTGATCGCTTCATCTGATTTGATGCACCTCTAATTTAATTAGGGAATGCCAACCATAACATACAGCATTGCATATATTCTTTTCATAGGTGACCAAATAAGCTCTTCTGCAAAATGAGCATCTGATTTCTGCTCATATCTCTCTTAGCTAATATTTGTTTATAAAGTCTTGCAAACAAAAAAGAATTATAGAGGGTTGCCCCTTTTGACTTAAAAGCAAAGAACAAGTGTAATAGTAGGACTAAGAAATGCAGGGTCTCAGAGGATCTGTGCACATGGAGAGTTGAGCAGAATTCCTAGTTTCCCTTGCATTCCTTCCAAATGTGAAGCTTTTGTGTTAGACCAACTTCTTGTGCCCATGGGAAGGGTGGAACACAGGACTATTTCAGTGGCGTCTGACTTGAGCAGAGGGTGGCATTCGAGTGTGTCCAAAGACACACATGATCGTCAATATGGTTTCCTTTAAAAATGAACGGAATGTGTCAATTAAAGCAAGGATACTTTAAATCAGTTGCTGTAACACCAACAAAATTTTAGTAAAAATTTATTTGGCAAGTATAATCTTGATTTACCTAGCACAGTGCATAGAGCATTATATCTTATGTACATGACAACATAAACAGCATTTATCCCCAAACAGGAAAAGAAAACCCACTGGGCCTTTGGAGACCACTGGCACCAGTTAGGGGCTTCAGCAGAGAAACAAAAATGATACATCATGCACAAGCGTTCTAACCGGTAACGCAACTCAGCCTGCCTTAAAGAAACCTTTTACAGGTGGGACCGCAGAAGAAGCTTGTTTCTGGGTTTTTGTACCAAAGTTGTTCCTCCCCCCCACGAAGGATGGATAAACATGGCGGGGGGGGGGGGGGGGGGGGGCGGGGGGGGGGAAGCTGAACAAAAATTACAGCCCTCGGTCGTCTTATTGGGACGTGGCAACAGAACTTCATTGCTCTCCGGCTAAATTTTGTCCTATTAAAAAGTTAGAATGAATCAAGCGCAGGTAGATTATTAAGAAGGCAAAACCTCTGGATCAGTCAACATGGTGTGCATCAGTCAGGTGTGCCAAAAGAACTATTTGACATAAAAGTGCTAGTAAATAAAGAGGGGAAATAATTGGTGAATGACTGCTGTTCAAAATGGAGATTAGTGTTATAGCAGCAGTAATGTTGCTTTAAAAAAAATCACATTCTCTGAAGCACTTGTGACTCCGGAAAGTGGGGCTCTGCCAGCAACAGCTAAACACTACCTGCTTATTTGTCGAGGGGCATTTTGAAAAGGCCTTCCTGAAGTGAACTGGGAATGGGGTTTAAGAAAGGACAGGTGATTCGACAGAACTGGCCCAGGGGTTCCCAACCTTTCCAAGCCCGTTGGGCACCTTTGGAATTTAGGCCGTTCAGCGTTGCTCCCAAATAGCTGCAGCAGGAGGCGGAGAGTGAGCTTAAAATGGCTGCTGCAGGGGGTGGAGTCAAATGCAACACCTCTCTCGCGTTTCCAAATGCAGTACAGAAGGGGAATAAAAAGGAGCGCGCGAAGGGGCTACTGGGACCATAAATTAATGCAAGAACATCCAGGTGCTTACCAGTTCACCCAGTCTTTCAGTGGCTGCTGCTGCTATTGCAACTGTGGAAGACCCTTTCATTTGAATGAGGGCTGCCAATGACAAGCCCCTGCCTTACAGTAGTTCTCCCCACTTTCTGAAAAGCTCGGCGGGCACCAGTGGAAGTACTGGTGGGCGTCATGAGGTCCATGGGCGTCATGAGGTCCATGGGAACCCTGAACTAGAGTGGGACAGGATTCCAGAGTGCAGGTACAGCCAAGCCATTCAAGCAAACCACTCAGGTGTGGAAAAGAAATGGAGATGGAGACATTGCAGCTGGCAGAGCCCCCGTGAATCTAGGAAAGGCGACAAAGACTCGAGAGTGCCACAGCCCTTCCGGTCCAAAATAACGATCTCTGTAGTGCAAACATCCCCCCCCCTACCATGACCTAAGTGGACGTATTTACAAAATGTACTCCTTTATACATTATGGCTTTTAAGTATTTTCATACAAAGCATCAAAAATCTTAAAAGAGGGGGGGAAATTCTTCATAGAGTATTCTGTAGTATACAGTTTGGCATCTCACTAAATTGGCTGATACAACTCTGCAGATTCTCCCCTCGCCCGCTGCTGTGCCTCGGGAGTTGATGGGGCTGCACGGGCCACCTGTGCTACAAGGAAGAGGGATGGCTTTTGCCTGGTAGGATGTAAACCAAGGATACGATTAAAAGGTGGGTTCTTTGGATATGCAGGTCTTTGGTAGCGATGAAAGGATTTCAGTAAAGCAGCCCTGTGCCTCCTCCGGAAAGGGTGGCAGGGGAAAGGGCCAGCCAAAGATAACAGGAAGTAGTCAGAGGGAAGTCCTTGCAAACAGGCAACTTTTCGTCATCGAGAATTCAAGCGAGGAGCCACCTGAGGAAGGAGACACGGGTAACAAGAGATGGTGGGTTTTATCACGGCCCTCAACCGTTAGTCCAAAGCCCTTGCCTCCAGAGAGGGCCTAGCCAACAAGGAGCTCTGCTCCAAGCCTGTTAAAATCAGAAACCTGGGATCATCACGTCTTAACTAAGTATCAAAGGCAGCAGTTGGGAAAAAGGAATTTAGGTAGGACTCCGTGTTGGCTGCACATTGCAGGTCGTGGGGGAATAAGCATTTGGCTGCTCCACAAACAGCAGAATAGACACGAGGCAACGGAAGTTTGTGGCAAACCAAAAGAGCAAGTGTTGGACTGGGGAATGGGGTGGGTCTTGTCAGCCGCACAGGTGCACCAGGGAGCTGAACAGGAGCAGCACATGCTGTCTAAAAGAAGGAAGTAATCTATGGGAAGCGGCCTGAGATGAGGTGGAGTGGCCCTCCTTTCGGCATAACAAACAGGCTCTGAGCGATACGGCACTCACCACAGCAAGATGGCCGTTCTTGGCTTTGGCTATGAGCAGTTCAGATCCTGACGTGAAATCAATGATGCCTTCTTTGCCTTGTCCAACGGTGAATTTTATGCTGCAGAGAAGGAAGCAGTGTTCACGGCAACCCCCAACTAAGGCATTCTAACTCTGCCCTAGCGAAGTTTCACAATCTTTTGAAGACGCCGCAGTGCAGGCTGCTGCTACGCAAGCGGGCACAGCCTACAGTCCTTGCGCAACCAGCACAGCACTGGCAAGATGAGATGAGAACGATAAGATGAATGCATCCAGGGGTGTTTCCCCATCCCCGCAATTCCCAAAGTGCTTCATCTACATCCTTATCGTTGCCCTATAAACTAGGTTACTGCTGTCATTGCCACATCACAGACCTGAGAGAGAGCTACATGCCAGAATTTGGAACTTTCAGTTAACAACACAGTCTTTGACCCACTATGGTCCCTGCCACACGGCAGAAAAAAACCCAGGCAAAATAGAGACGCCGCGGCGGGATCCCACGGATCCCCTAAGACACGGCGCCGTTGATCTCAGATGCCGGGGAGGAAGCCACTGTCGGGAGGGGGAGGCTGCTGAACTGCCCATGTCTGAGCATGCGCAGTTCGGCCAGGAGCCAGGGATGCGCCGGCGGAAGGACACTCCGGGGATGCGCTGGCGGAAGGACACGCTGGCAATCCCACGGCCGGCCTTGATGCGGACTTGCCGGAAGAACCTTGGTAGGTGGTTTATTTTTGCCATGGCGTTTTGGGCGGAAGGGCTGGATCGGGGACGGGTGTGGAACACTTCCCAGATATTGCGGTGGGATCGCGCCCGTTTGCTCCGCCCCCGATCCGTCCCTCTCCCAGCCCAAAACCTCTTGTGTGACCGGGGCCCTATGATAACCAAGATTCAGAAAAGAAGACGGACATACTGCCGAGTCACAACAGACTCCTGGTGACTCTACCCATGAGATGTTCCAGGCAAGAGGTAAGCAGAGGTGGTTTGCCGTTGCCATCCTCTGCATAGCAGCCCCGGTCTTCCTTGGTGGTCCTTGTACCAACCATGGCTCTGGGCAAGTATGAGCTAAACTGGTCGATTTGGGCTCTTCATTAGGCTACAGAGCCCAAATGCAAAATCATGACCGGAAAAATTCACACGCCTCAGGGCACCAGGTTTTCTTGCCTCCTAGCAAGGCAGTAAAAGCGGCAAATAGACACGGCCAAGAAATTCCGAGCCTCCGCTTAAGAGCTCCCAGAAGCTCCTCCCTTGCCCTGGGCAACTCACCTGCCCTGGTTGATGTTCACATTGTTCACTTTGTTGGCACAGATGGCAATCTTGGTCAGCGTCTCGATCACAAAATCACTCTGTAGCACGACGTCTCCCTGAAAAGCAAGCCCAACAGGTCTTTCCAGGTAGGTTCCGGGACTGCCAAGAATTACAGGAAGGAAGCTCTAGGCCACTGCCAGGTCCCCACCCCCAAATAACCCCCCCCCCCCCATTGTAGACACAATGGCCACACCTCCCAAGATGCCAAGTCAGACTCAAACATGCTATGTCATGACTGTTGCCCAAGAATGGAAACCTTTACCTTCTGCTTGTTATCCTGCTGGAGTACGTGAAGAACAAAGAGGTTGTCGCTCAGGCTGCTGAGTGAGATGCCTGCAAAGCAAGGAAGGGCCACGTGGCTCAGAGAAGTTCTCCCGCGGGGCAAGACCGGCTGCCTCTGTTTCTGCCCCCACTGTTACCGGAGGGTGCACCCCAGAAGGCAGCCTGTACAGCTACGTTATTACTGAACCACAAAAGCAGCTGAAGTTGAGGAGGCAGGCAGAGGCCAGTGGATAAGGACAGACAGCCGTTTAACCTGCCCAGGGCCACCAGCAAATCAGATGGAGGTTATCCTTAACATCTCAGAAACAAAAAATTATCTGGTTTGGGGGGCGGGGGCAGGTAGTCACAAACAGCCAACCCTGTAGGCAGGGAAAGCAGAACAGGAGTCCAGCTAAGAGGGTACCCCAGCCCCCAAGCTGGCAAATGCTCCGCCCCCCTTTGCTCACCCGTCAGGTTGGCGTAGTCGATCCGCTGCTTGACTTTGGACTCTTCGACTAGCACAACTGCATTCTGTGTGAGCAGCAGCTGGCGAGGTCTGGCCTTGTAGCCTTTCCGGTCGTACTTGATCACGGGAACGGCGTACTGAAACGAGCGTGGTGGTTGTTTCCAAAAAAACCATGTCTTTTGGGTGCCACAGCTAACAGCGGCTAACCCTTAACCAACAGCTAGGCTGTGAGGGACGGGGATTCTAAGGGCCCTTACTTGTCACCTGGGCCTCCGTTTCTCAGGCGCCAGGATGTGTAAGCCCTTCTGGCTTCCTTCCAACCGCCCTTTCCTTGAGAATGACCAAGACCCCATCACTACATTTGACCTGTCCTACGGGGCCCTCTGAGCTGTAGCTGTGACCGCGGCAGCGGCTGAACAGCTGGAGAAATCACCGGGGGCAGGGTCCAAAGGCTCACCTTCAGCGCCTCATTCCCCAGAACCTGGAGGACTTTGGCGTTTATGTCTTCACTCCCTGCCAAGAGAAACGAGGAGGCGGCGGTTAGGGGAAGCTCACTGACAGTCCGAAACATGGCCAGCCAAAGCGGCACTTACCGAGGCGGGTGTTCAGGAAGAGCCTGGGGACACTCTGAGGATAATTGTCCTTTTTGTCCTTGAAGATCTCACTGGCCACCACCTTCTGCTCCAGCTGCAGGGGGAGAAGCAGGCAGAAGAGCCCGGGGTCAGTGCAGCCGAGACAAGGTAGCTTCACTGGCCAACCGAAAGGACTGGACAGCCACGATTAGATGGCCGTGTCCAAAGGGGAGTTCGTTTCATGTGGAGGCGTGCCACGAGTGGCCCACTCAGCACAACAGCAGTGGTAACATCCAATGAGCGCTGTCCATAAAACCTCATTCTGATGGGGTCTCTGGGGTCCCAAACCCCAGATTATGGGTATAAAAGCAGTGCCGCCCAAAACCCTGACATCAGGTAGAGGGGGTGCTCCTACGGCTTCTTACCTGCAGCTTCCACTCCGGGCTGATTCTCTTGCAGTAGATCCAGACCATATTCTGCATGCAGAGCTCCCTCAACAGCTGAGATGCCTGGAGGAGGAAAAAGCAGAAGTATGGAACTTGAGAGGGAAGCCGGTGGGACAGCCATAATAAAACAAGACTCGAACTGGGGGCAGAGGACACATCCCCCAGCCTCTCTGTCAGAGATTGCTCGTGTCCCCTGCTGAAGACAAACATCCCATTGCTTCTGTGAGGGAGGCTACAGTAATGGTGTCCCAGCCTTGGGAAACAGAGACTTGGACTGTCTTCTCATCCCCATTACTTTCTGCCCTCACACACACACACACACCTTATTATCTTTAAATGCGCAACATTCTATGCAGGCGTTTTCTTCCCTGTTGAACACACGAAGCTGCCTTATAGTGAATCAGACCACTGGTCCATCAGAGCTGGCACTGTCTACTCAGACTGGTGGCAGCTCTCCAGGGTCTCAGATGACGGTCCTTCACATTACCTACCACAGGATCCTTTTAGCTGAAAATGCCAGGGCTTGGACCTTCTCACGTGCCAAGCGATGCTCTGCCACAGAGCCACAACCTCTACTGGGAGCTGGGGAGCTGACTCGGAGAAAGGATGACTCAGGCCTGCAGGGATGGGGACATCGGGGCTAATAATGCCCCATATTTTAGAGATCCCAGCATCTCGTGGGCCTTTTCATTTAGTTGGGATTCTTTTGAGTGCCGTGCGGCATTTCAAATGTCAGGGATGTGGGATGAACCCAGTCCCCTGCCTTTCACCTGTGGAATTTACAAACCTCCGAGGTAGAAAAGGTATTAAGTGAAAATTAAATGTGATCTATGGAATAGTTACTCTGCAGGTGTAATGGAGGACACGCAGGAACAACAGTGATATCGCAGTACAATATGATCATAGAACAAGAATATACTGCATAAACAATGCAGACAAAATTGCACACAAAAATATACTTCACATTAGTACCAAGTTAGTAACATCCGTTTAACAAGAATGGTTACAAGAACCAGTATGTAATTGCAGACTACAGCATTAATACTAGAGTAAGACCTCTTTAAATCACATTAGTAACAAGTAAGTAACATCAGTATACAGAAATGGTTACAAGAACCAGTATGTGATTACAAACTCCCAAGAATAACACTAGAGTAAGACCCACAGTGACACACAAAGATTCCGGATTTCACTCTTCGTTTCGATAGTTCTTCCTCAGAAAGCTGAAAATAGGTCAATTGGTTATTATACTATAAAAATTACAAACATACATTCATATTTAAAGGTAACAATTACCTGTATCAAGCACTTTATACGCACACACACATTTATTAAGCGCTTGATACAGGTAATTGTTGCCTTTAAATATGAGTGTATGTTTGTAATTTTATAGTATAATACCTAATTCTCACTGGAGAAGACCCTGATGCTGGGAAAGATTGAAGGTCAAAGAAGACGGTGACGGCAAAGGATGAGATGGTTAGAGAGTGTCATAGATGCAACGAACATGAAATTAAGCAAACTTCAGAGGACGGCGGAAGACAGGAAGGCCTGGCGGGATCTGATCCATGGGGTCGCGAAGAGTCGGACTAGACTGTGAGACTGAACAACAACAACCTAATTCTTGGAGGCTTCTATATATTAAGCGCTTTATTATTTTTTTGTACGCTATTTTCTCTGCGTTGTTTATGCAGTGTATTCTTGTTCTATGGACACATAGGAACGACATGGATCCTTAGTGGAGTCTTTTTTAAAAAAAGGAACATTCTGTAATGTTCTTTCATGAGTTTTTAACACTTGAATTGAGATGAGCACAACAATGTGTTGATACCCACATCAAAAGAGTCTTTCTACAGATGTACCTGCTCTCTGCTCAGTGCACCCCTAAGTAACAGTATCAGTGGTAAACTGATTGTGTATACTCTTATCACATGCTGTGCGCTATTATCAGGTTCATTATCACAGGTGTCCTGAGGGGTGTGCTAGAGCTATTCTCATGTTGCAAATGAGGAACGGAGTACAGGAATGCATAAACTTGTCCAGGTCATCATTCAGTGAGCCCCTGAGGGAGTCAGAATTTGAACTCAGGACAAAAGCCAAACGAGTTCACCAGATGACTCTGGTTTCCACATTTAGCTTTTGCTCGGCAAGAAGAAGAAAAAGAAGAGAGAGGAGAAGAGATTGGATTTATACCTCGCCCTTCACTACCTAAGGGAGTTTCAGAGCAGCTTACAAACTCCTTTCCCTTCTCCTCCCCACAACAGACACCCTGTGAAGTAGGTGGGGCTGAGAGAGCTCTTTTGAGAACGGCTCCTTAGCGATCATCTGCAAGTGGATTTTGCTGCTCCATGCAGTAAAATCAAACTAGCAAAGTGCACTGAAAGTGTAGTATTCAGCACGTGTGAAAGTGGGGTTTTTTTCTGTCCTACGAACATGTGCCATGCTCTGATGACATAGAATCATGGAGCTGGAAGAAACCCCAAGGGTCATCTAGTCCCAGTCTCCTCGACAATGCTGGAAATTCAAAGCTCCCTCCCTCCCCACTCCCCCAGTGACCCTGAGGCATCAGGATTAGGAAGAGCATCACAAATGAAGCTAAGCAGGATAGGAAAATCCTATGAAAACAAAAGCCTAGAGCAGATCTTTTCTTCTAGGGAGTGGACGAACTATCTGCAGCGGCCAACAAGTTGCCTGTTGGAGAGCACTGCCTTAGCCCCAATTGGCAGCTCTGGAGGTCAAGGAGGTAAAGGTAAAGGTTCCCTTGCTCGAAAGCCAGTCGAATCCGACTCTAGGGTTGCGGTGCTCATCTCCATTTCAAGCCGAAGAGCCAGCGCTGTCCGAAGACGTTTCCGTGGTCATGTGGCCAGCATGACTAAACACCAAGGCGCACGGAACGCTGTCACCTTCCCACCGAAGTGGTACCTATTTATCTACTTGCAATTTCTTGCTTTCGAACTGCTAGGTTGGCAGGAGGAGGTCCAGGAAGCCATGCCCAAAGCCATGCCCAGTGGCTTCTTCTGTGCTGTAGGACTCAATAACTTGACATGGAGTCTTTTGGGGGGCAGAGAACCAGTCCTGTGTGCAAAGCAAAATGGCCTGGCAAGCCACTGTCTGGCCTGCATGTCAGGGGCTGCCTGTCCCTGGACCACGATGTCTTCATGCTTCAAACGGCCCCTTCCTTGCTGAGTTTGTGATTTACCCTACTTTATTGCACTTTTGTTTTATCTTCACTGCACGTGAGACAGGCCAGAACCTCTGATCTCTCTGATACACAGACTATGGAAGCAGGGCAGGTCCCCACATAGAGAACCCCACCTGATCATACTAGGCTTCTCTCTGCTCAACTCTTCCCTCTTTCCCCCTCCCCATCTGCATAAATGAGCTAAATGAGTTTCTTTGTTCCCAAGTGAGCTCTGTCTCACAAAAGCTCATACTGGAATAAATATTGTCAAGGCTTTAAGGTGTCACCGGACTTATATTTCATTTTTCTGGTTTCCTCCTGTGACCTCTTTTCAGGTTTTTCCTGCTCCTCTCCTTTGGAACATGAGTTCCAAAGACATGGAACGTACGGATTGGGACAATTCTTTTAATGCTACTGAATTTGATATCCACATTTGCAGGACCAGTCCCAAGAAATGGCACTACCTGGGTCCAATGCTCCCTCTAAGCTGTGGAGTCTTGTGAGCAAAAATTCTACTTTGTGAGCTGCCGGCATTAAAGTTGTGAGTGAACAATTTGGCTACTGCATAAATTAGCTTGCTCTGGAACCACCCTTCCTGAGCGAAGACCAAAATCTGTGAGCTGGAGGCTAAAAAACTGTGAGCTAGCTCACACTCACTCAGCTTAGAGGGAACAATGCCTGGGTCTCCCATGGGGCAGACCGTAGAATCAAGGCTGGGGAAAAGTTGAGCTCTCCGGCAAGGAAGGTTCTTTGCCTGTCAGTTCTCAGAGGCCACAGTGAGGAAGCCAACAGGGTCCCTTTCTGACCAGGAAACAGCTGCCCTAAGCTGTTTTACTATCAGTAGAAAGTGAGAAGGGCTGTGGCTCAGTGGAAGAATCTCTGTTTTCCATGCCAAAGGTCCTAGGTTCAATCCCTGGCATCCCCAGTTAAAAGGACCAGGTAGCAGGTGATGTGAAAGACCTCTGCCTGAGATCCTGGACAGCAGCTACCAGCCTGAGCAGGTGATACTGACCTTGATGAACCAGTGGTCTGATTCAGTACAAGGCAGCTTCCTATGTGCCCATCAGGACTGGCCTTGGTTTGATCCCATCATCCAAAACCCTAACTGCATGCAAGCCCACATGTCCCATTGGTTTTGTGCAGCATCTGTATGAAAAGGATCTTGGACTGGAGCAAACGAAAGCAGGTGGGTCGTATGAAGGCGGAAGAAAAGGATGAAAAGGATTTCTGTGGGTAAAGCCCTATTTGCCCTCCAGTGCCTGAGGAATGTCCCCTGGAAGTACCTCCTGCAGCGATGGTGGGGGGGTCGGCCAAGACTTGTCCAGAACATTCTTTGGTAGGTTGCGCTTCAGGGTCATCAGGAAGGAGTAGCGGATGTAGTCGAGGAAGTATTCGTTCTCCGGGCAGCGAGGGTAGTTCCGGTAAATGAAGCCCTTGATGAATCTGCAGAGAGTGGTGGGGGGAGGAGTGTCGGGGGCAGGGGAGACGCAGGCGGAGGCTCGGTTAAGGAGGGAATGGCGCGGCTCCTGCCCTGACTGGCACCTCCCGTCTCCCCACAATCTTGCAAAGAAGCCAGAGCGTTAAAGGTGGCACAGAAAAATCTGCGGGGCTGAGACGCACAGCACGAGAGTGACACTGGGGTGGGAAGGGGTTCTTGCTCCGGTTCACCCCCCAAGAGCAAGGACAATGGATTTTATTTTTTACCCACCGTCGAATGGTCCCGACAGCCCACTTCCTTCTGGCAGCCTTGCGGCGTCCCAGGGTCCCACGCCACCAGGACTGAATCGTGATGGCTGGAAAGAATGAAGAACAAAATGCCGCACTCAGAATGCCTTCCCAAACAGCCCTCTGAAGACTCTGAGGATCCTCCCTGCAGCCAGTCAGGCTTTTTTGTCTTTGTCTTTGCTCACTGCAGAGCCCACAGCAGCACTGAAAACCACTGGAGATGCTTTGTACTACAGCCCAAAGCAGGGATTTTTCTGGTTGGCTCCATGATCCAGAACGCACTCCCAGAGAACCCCGCCATTCTGGCGGCTTTGACTTCAGAAGCACCAGGTGTCTGGTGCTGCCGCTATTGGCGTTCAGCCGCTTTATTTAACTGATTTAATTTTGGTAACTGCAAGTCAGAAAGTCATTTGTACCTTTTTGAGCCTGCAGGGACCTTTGGAATTCTGACACGGGGCAGTCGGCAGAGATACAAAACGGCTGCCCGACAGGGATGCCAACCTCCAGGTGGTGGAAATCCAACAACAGCATCCGTGACAAAAATAACGAAGAGTCAATAAAGATATGTTGCAAAATCATTTACTGTAGTAATTCTGTAGAAAATTCTCTTCTGTTATCGCTCGCACACTAACGAATGCTGCACAATGTAAATATTCGTTCCACAATATTTGCTTTATCTGAGCGTGTAGCAATCACAATTCTTATCAATTACTACTTATAAACTCTTGAAGAAAACATTCCATGTTGACTCTCTAATAACATTGTGAAGACCTTGGGTTCTGTTACTTGAGAGTCAACATGGAATGTAGTAATTGATAAAAATTGTGATTGCTACACGCTCAGATAAAGCAAATATTGTGAAACGAATTGTTTTCATTGCACAGCATTCGTTAGCGTGTGAGCGATAATAGAAGAGAATTTTCTACAGAATTACTACAGTAAATGATTTTGCAACATATCTTTATTGACTCTTCGTTATTTTTGTCACGGGTGTTGTTGTCAGATTTCCACTTCCTCCCATGATCTCTCATTTTTGGCTTCAGCCTCCAATGGTGGCTGGAGATCTGAAACCACAGCTGGTCTCCAGACAACAGAGACCAATTCCCCTGGAGAAAATGGCTGCCTTAGAAGGCAGACTCTATGACATTATACTCTGATAAGGTCCCTCCCCTCCCCAAATCCCACCTTCCTCAAGCTCTACCCCCCAAATCTCCAGGTATTCCTCAACCCACATCTGGCAACCCTACCGCCAGAAAAGGCGGGGCCAACCATGAAATGGCTGCTGCAGGAGGCAGAGTGAACCACAAAACGGCTGGAAGTGTGGTTATGCATAAATGCTAACAGTAACCCTTCAACATTTCCGGAAGAAGCTGCGGTTAACGGGACAGAGCTGTAACAAGGGCAAGGCAAGGAAGGCATTTGCCCCGAGCATACAAAGTGGAGGGGCACAGAAAAAGTATATCATAATGAAAAGAAACATTGCATTATTATTACTCTTATTGACCAAATTACCTTTTCACCAAAATAACTACTATCAAATTATAGAGGGGCGCAATTTTATATTATTGCCTTGTGCGCAAAATTAGCTAGGTGTGGCTCTATAACAGGATGCACTTTTAATTTGCATAGCCTATCAGAAGCTCTTCTGGGCAACAGCCCCCAATAAGAACATAAGAGACGCCAATGTTGGATCAGGCCAAAGGCCCATCTAGTCCAACACTCTGTCACACAGTGGCCAAAAATACCAGGTGCCATCAGGAGGTCCACCAGTGGGGCCAGGACATTAGAAGCCCTCCCACTGTTGGCCCCCCAAGCACCAAGAAGGCAGAGCATCACTTGCCCCAGAGCCTCCCCCCTGTCTAAAAGCACTGTGGGCATCAGGAAAGATGTCAAGGGTCACCGCAGCGCCCATAGGCACCATGTCAGGGACCCCCGATGTAGACTGCTGAATTCTGCTTCACTCACTGACGGTGATGAAGAAATCAACAAATGAGGAGAGGGGAAACTACGTGGATTCCCTGCCTTCTTACCTGAATTCTTCATCTGCTGGAATTTCTTCCGCTGGTGGAAGCCTCTCCAGTTTGCCTGGATCTTTGTGGCTAAGGGAGAAAACAAACAACGGTGGGTTTGCAAGGACAGCACAGCCAGAGAGTGAGCCAGACCAGATGCTTAACGGGACCATATAAACTTAAAAGACATCTGGTAAGAACCTCTCACACACCCAGGCTCTGCTTCCGGATTTCCAGGGCATCTTCTGTGGCAAACAGCGTCTTGGGGAAACGGATAAAGATTTTTGTCCTGGAAATGAAACGCATCAGTTTTAATAGGGTTGCCAGGCACCCCCTAGCCACCAGCAGGAGATGGAGGGGGTAGGGTCGCTGGGCCCTGGAGACAGGGGGATGGAGCCTGGGGAGGACAGGGACCCCAATGGGTTACAATACAAGGCCATAGAGCCCACCCTCCAAAGCAGCCGTTTTGGAAAGGGGCTGTAATTCTGGGGGAACACCAGGTCCCACCTGGAGGCTGGCAACCCTAAGACCGCAAAGACTCTGCCCTGCTCCCGGGAGAGAGAGACAGCCAAGCTCCAGCTAGAGAGACCGACCTGCCCATCTTGAACTCCTCTGGCTTATAACCCAGATGTTTCAAAAGCACCGACACGCCGTCATGGGGCCTTCCGTCCCAGGTGGGCCATGTTTCGGGACACAGCGATTTGTACCTGGCAAACAGAGGAAAACCACATGATGAAAAAGAGAAACCAGGTTCAGATTTGGGGGGGGCTGGGTAGAGAGTGCCCAGGGCCCCCTTCCCCTCTTCAGCCGGCCACCAGCCCCCCCCCCCCCCCGGTTTCCTTCTCTCCCACCCACTGACTCACATGCCTGGGCAGCCCTCCCACCACCTGCAGGCACAGATGCCGGCACCACTAACACCCCCGTTCCCTGAGGACGCTGGGCAGCGCGTACGGCTGGGAGCTTGGGTGGCAGAGTGCTTGGGGAAAGGGCATGCGGGCAGCAGGGGAGGCGTGCAGTCACTGGCAGTGGGCCTAGCCCAAAGCCCTGGCCCCTGGCACCAGCGTTCCCTCTAAGCTGAGTTAGTGTGATCCAGCTCACAGTTCTTTAGCCTCCCGCTCACACATTTTTGTCTTCGCTCAAGAACGAGGGCTCCGGAGCAAACTCATTTATGCAGCAGCCCAATCGCTCGCTCCCAACTTTAATGCCAGTGGCTCACAAAGTAGAATTTTTGCTCACGAGACTCCACAGCTTAGAGGGAGCATTGCCTGGCACCTGCCCCGCTTCAGGGCATGCTGATGCCAGCCCTGGGAACAACTGCACGCAAGCCTGCTAAGAAAGGCATTCACGCTGCCGAGACAGCCCCTGCCCACCTGTCTCCTACCTCTGGAGGAAGACTTCGTATTTCCGCCGATAAGCAAAACCAGCCCTTCGCACCCTCAGGTTCTCCATCAAGCCCAGATATTTGACTTGATGTCGGATCAGAACTTCATCAAAACGGCCTAGAAGTGATCAGAACAAAGGGAGAATGACCACAGGAACGAGTCCTCCTGTACCACCAAGGAGCACCGAAGTGCGTAAACATTCTGGGTGAGGATGGACTCTGGGTCCCTTCAAGCTGACCAGAGGGCTATCATGGCACTCAAGCCAGCCATCAGCCTTCCCCTGAAAGCCTGCAACTGGCTGAGCCGCCAGGAACCTTCGCTTACCGCCATGACTTCAGGAAGTGCTTTATAGTTACAAGTGAGCCAGAATTCAGAACTCCAAACAGAGTGAGGTACACAGTGTAAGATGCAACCCAACAAAAACGACGTATAGGACACGATAAATTACAGTAAAGTCTATGAAAGTCTATAAAGGGTGCAATCAGACGCACAATTAGCCATGCCGTAGGCACGAATGCCGGGCAGATTTGAAGGGCGCGATCAGATGCAACATCTGCCCAGCGTCCCGCACCCGTCGGCAAAACCGTTTTGCTCCGCCGCAGGAGTGGAGTAAAAAGACCCTGGGGAAAGTCCAGTAGCAAGTGGGTTGCTCCAGGCCACAGACGGACTTTCCCCTGTGTGATTGCTCCGGCACACTCTCATGGCGTCGGGATGGTCTGATCAGGCCATCCTGGCTCTGTGCCGTTTTTTCCCCTTCTCAGTATGCACATCATCACATGCTGCCGAAGGAAGCCCTCAACGTGGAGATGCGATTCACTGATCCTCCGTTTAAGCGAATCGAAAACAAACTGGGGGGGGGAACCCCCGACTCGTCCCCGATTGCGTCTGATCACGCAGTGGCGGGCTGTGCCCGCAGCTTCAACGAACTGTGTGATCGCGCAACTGCGAGTCAGTCTCCTCCGGGTTAAATAGCCTCGCTTCCCCCATGCGTTATCTCGCGCGTGTGACCGCAACCAAAGTATATTATTTCAACGAATGTGGCTGAAGCCACAGTGCATACAATTTTACAGAGTGAATTAGAATACAAATGTTTTACACAACAGGGAAATAATTTGTCGCTTATGAAAAGTCAACAGGCTTCATAACGCAGAACATGAGCCTCACACTTGGATCCCTGGGCAATACACTGATGCACTGTGCATACAAACTGTGCACCCCAAATAGTCCAGTAAGCTGAATAGTGTCCATGCATGTCTTCTTTCGGTCTGCGGGCGAGCGATGAAGTCCGTTGAATTTTCATAAGCAACAGATTATTTCCCTATCGTGTACGACATTTATATTCTAATTCGTTTTGTAAAACTGTATGCACTGTGGCTTCAGCCACACTTGTTGAAGTAGCTATAATATACTTTATAGACTTCCACAGACTTTACTGTAATTTCTTGTGCCTTATATGGACTTTTTGTTGGGTTTCAGAATTCAGAACTCGGCAAGAACAAAGTGAGCTGAACGGGGCTACTCGGCCTTCTTCCGTGGCCCAGGTAGAGCCAGGCTCAGAATCCCCCCCCCCCCCCCAGATATTTCCTGGCATCTGAGATAAAATCAAGGGAGCACCGGAGAGAGGGGGGTGACCCCAAAGGAAGTCCCCAGCTCAGACATACCGGCCTGTTTGGCATCATTGGGCTTGATGCAGCGGATGTAAGACGGCTCCTTGGACATCAGAATCTCCATCAGCTTTGCGAGGCTGTTCTTAAACTGAGTCACCGCCTGCAAGAAAGGAGGAGGGACTGAGGGGGGAAATGAGCGGGAAACGAGGGCCGGCCTGCTTGAGAGGACGTGAGCCGGGCAGGTGGACTGGCCTGCGGGACCAGAGGGGCCCCTCCGCTACCCGTCTGGGGATCTTACTGTCTCTGGCCTCTTCTTGTCCGTCAGCTCTGTCCTCTCAAAGCACTGGTTGATGATGGGATTCTCCGAGTTGCACATGGCCTGGAAGGGAAGCGGAAGAGCCCGCAGGTAAATCACAACCAGATCTGCTCAGACTGCAGAGTCCTTGGGGAACACGTAATAATCCTTCACGTGCTTCTGCCCGCCTCCCCGATCAGATCGCGAAATCCAACCCCCTTCACATTGTTCTGCTGTCTCCTAGCGGGCACTCACCTCCTTCAGGTTCCTAAAGAGAAGATCGTTGTTCTTATCCAGAAAACCTTGGAAGGAAAAACAGGGAATCAAGAACTTGAGTGAAGAACAAAGGAAGAACATAAGAGATGCCAATGTTGGATCAGGCCAAAGGCCCATCCAGTCCAACACTCTGTATCACACAGTGGCCAGAAATACCAGTGCCATCAGGAGGCCCAGCAGTGGGGCCAGGACATTAGAAGCCCTCCCACTGTTGACCCCTCCAAGCACCAAGATGCTCGGAAGCTCGGAGTGGGGGGCTGGTTCAGGACATCGGTGCAAGGGGGCAATAACTGACTGGGACGGAAGCACCGTGGTGTTAATACGCAGAAGACATGTACCTGAGACACTGTAGGTAACCTCCCCAGCGTAATGCAGGAGACGGAATTCTTCCCGACCCAAAGACTTCCGGGTCTTTGCATCCGCCAGCTTGTGCCTATGGAGAAAGCAAACTCAGGCCTGGTGACAGTGTGGGAGGGAGGGAGGGTGGGAGGGAGGGAGGGAGGGAGAACGGAGCTGGTCTTCACAAGGAAGGCCAAAGAGGAAGCAAGAGTCCAGCACCAGCCAGCCTGAGTCAGCAGTGAAGCCTTCCAGAGAGAGATCCCACTCAAAGGAATTGGGGGCCAAGGGAAACCACTGGGCAGGCGGCACTAAGGCCGGGAGGATGGGAAGGGCAGCCCAGCAGGCGAAAGACTGGCCACATGACTGCTCCGAGAAGGTTCTGCACACTGTGGCAGAGGCCGGGCCTCACAAAAACCAACCTGGCACTCCTCGTAATGCAAGGAAAGGGTTGTGATGGAGACATTCTGATGCTTTGGGGGGTGTCGGCCGTGATGCGCCTTCAGGATAGGCGGGTCGCTTTAAAGTGCCTGGTGGAAAGTCATGCCCAGAGGCCCCTGAGCCACATCAGCTGGACTAAAAAATAACTAGGATAATGCATTAAGAACACTATTCTGTTTCTGTCTCCTGTTAGAATTTGCCGCCATGATTTCTATGTTGAATAAATGAATAAAAAGGTAAAGGTAAAGGTCTCCCTTGCTCGAAAGCCAGTCGAGTCCGACTCTAGGGTTGCGGTGCTCATCTCCGTTTCCAAGCCGAAGAGCCAGCGCTGTCCGAAGACGTTTCCGTGGCCATGTGGCCGGCATGACTAAACGCCAAGGCGCACGGAATAAATGAATACCTCTATATTATTCCATAATCATTTAGCATACCCCCAGCGAGAATAGCTGAATATTCAACAGACATGAAAGTAACCACGGATAACCACTCCAATGGGGAGATAAAGTTTCAGTCTCCCTGTGGATTTTAATCTTCAGTATCCCTTTAAGGGCTTCATTCCTTAGCAATCCTCTCTTCAATACTGGCATCTGTTAAGCCTCAGTACAAAATTAATGCACGTCAGCAGAAGATTTCGACTCTTGAAAACAATCTTATTATTTGTATTAGAACAATCTTAAACCGTTCCCGTTTTAGCAGGGTCCGTCTTGCTGAATGTGCTCTCCGTGGCAAGTTCCATTTGATATGATCTAAACAGCAGGTTCTGTCTGACGGAATCGTCAGCAAGAATGTAAGGCTCCGGCCAGTTCGACTGAATGATTTGCAACTGAATGATCTGTGACTGTGATGCTGTCAATATGAGTTACATTTAAGAAGCAGCTCCGACTTTGACAAAGCGGTTTCAAAACGGGTTTCAGCTAGCCTCCCCCATCAGCCGGAACCTGCTGTTAAGATCATATCAAATGGAACTTGCCACGGAGACCACATTCAGCAAGACGGATCCTGCTAAAATGGGAACGGTTTAAGATCGTTTTAATACAGTCTAAGAATAAGACTGTATTCAAGAGTTGAAATCTTCTTCTGACCTGCATTAATTTTGCACTGAGATTTAACAGACGCCAGTATTGAAGAGGATCACTGAGGAAAGAAGCCCTTAAAGCAGGGGTGTCGAACTCATTTGTTACGAGGGCCAGATCTGACATAAATGTCACTATGTCAGGATGGGCCACGTGTGCCATAAAACATAATGCCAAGTACTGGAGATAGAAACTGTATAAAGGACAGCAGCTGGTAAGCTATGAGTTGGTGCATCCTCACTGCAAGGCCCCATGGAATGGGAGGGGGGTGCAGTGGAAAACCCACATAGGAGGAAGAAGAAGAACAAGAAGAGATTGGATTTATCCCCCGTCCTTCACTTGGGAATCTCAGAGTGGCTTACAAACTCCTTCCCCTCCCCACAACAGACACCCTGTGAGGTAGGTGGGGCTGACAGAGCTCTTTCCAGAACTATCCTTGAGAGAACAGCTCTGATAGTACTATGACTTGCCCAAGGTCATCCAGCCAGGTGCAAGTGGAGGAGTGGGGAGTCCGCGCACTTAACCACTACACCAAACTGGCTCTCGAGGACTGGAGAGGCAGCAGTGCAGTGCTGGGCAGATGCTCCCACGATGCTTGGCTGCTGCAGGTGAGGTTGTTCTGCCATGCTGAAGCCACAATGGAGTGGCTCCACCCACTCCGCCCCCCGGCACTCCCTCTCTTGCAACAGTTGCTTGCGGGCTGCACAAGAGCCCTGGATGGGCTTGTTCTGGCCCCCGGGCCTTACGTTTGACACCCCTGCCTTAAAGGGATATTGAAGATTTAAAATCCACAGCGAGACTGAAACTTTATCTCCCCACTGGGGTGGTTATCCTTGGTTATTTTTATGTTTGTTGAGTATTCAAAAGGTTACATTGAGCATTATCCTTGCTGGCTGTATGCTAAATGATTATGGAATAGTACATATTCATTTATTCAACGTATAGATCATGGTGGTAGATTCTAACAGGAGATAGAAAAAAATAGTATGTTAATGTATTTTCCATGTAGTTATTTTCACGGTTTTGTTGCATTTGCTTTTTGATCTGGTATATCTGTGCTGCTCCTTCTCTTCTGACTGATAACATAAGCTGGGCTAGGCTTGCCTCCAAGGATCCCCAGTAAACTCACGTGAGGAAGTGCGGATGGTTCTTGATCGTCTCCTCCAGCTTCTCCAAGAAGGTCATGTCCGTGGCTTCTCCTGGCCTCAGACACTCCTCGTCCTGCAGAGAGGGAATGAGAACGCGGAAGTCCAGCAGTGCACTGGGGAGCCGTCTTGGGCAGTCTCACCCCAAACAATGTCAGTCCACTGACTGTAGCCTTGGCCAATGGACAGAACCCTCACTGCCTTTTCTCTAAGCAGATGGTTTCAGGTGGGCAGCCGTGTTGTCCTACGGGAGAAGAGTGGGATTCGAATCCAGTAGCGCCTTGAAGACCGACAAGATTTCCAAGGTATAAGCTCTCGAGAGTCAGAGCTCTTGTATCTGATGAAGGGAGCTCTGACTCTCAAACGCTTATACCCTGGGGAAACCCTATTGGTCTTTAAGGTGCTACTGCACTCCGATCCTGCTCTTGAAGGAGATGTTTCTGAAACTGGGGTAGCTGTGCAGCAGCAGCTGAAAGCCCCCAGGACTGAAGTGGAGGAAGAGGCTCCTTGTTCTGTGGGGTGAGAGAAACAGACTGCTGAGGGCCATTGTGGGATGCCCGGTGTGGAAAGGTCTCAGGCTGCCATAGGAACACTCCCAGAGACAAGGGGAGGAAGAAAAGAAGAAGAAGAGGAGATTGAATTTATGCCCCGCCCTTCACTACCCAAGGGAGTCTCAGAGCGGCTTACAAACTCCTTTCCCTTCCCCTCCCCACAACAGACAGCCTGTGATGTAGGTGGGGCTGAGAGAGCTCTCACAGAAATGGCTCTTTTACAAGAACAGCTCTGACAGAACTATGGCTTGCCCAAGATCATCCAAGTGGACGAGTGGGGAATCAAACCTGGTTCTCCCAGATTAAAGTCCGCATACTTAACCACTACACCAAACTGGGTCTCTGGAGTCAGCCACCGTTTGGCAACCTTTGATGGGCAAAGGCCTGGCCACTAGGATGCAGCACGACAGCTTTCCCTGGAAGCTAAGCCAGCAACCATTCACACTGCTGGCCCCCCGGAACAGGGCCGAGAACCCTGTTGGTACCACTGCAAAACACAGGGACTAACTCCGTGTGTGGCACCTCCACATGTGTCTGCCATTTGGCATAAGTTTCACATCCAAAGCTACAGCAACAAGTTCCTGGATCTCGCATGGAGATGATAGGCACCTCCCCTCCCACCCCCCCAAATTCCTCCCTTCCCTACTCTTCCACATATTCTTAACAACTTACCAGAATCGAAATGATGCCTTTGAATTTCTCTTCCACCAAGTCACAGATGATCTTGTTGTTAAAATACTGGACCGGCTCCCACTGACATTCGCAAAAGGAGGAAAACAAATCAGAGGCTGAGAGAGACTTCAGACACAACCCAGGACACAAATGAGGGAAGGGCTCCAAAGCAGAGGGGAGCTGGCCCAGGGGCTGCACCGCTCTGCATTCACGGCATCGGTCCCGGGGAGAGGCAGGCCAGGAGAGAAACCTCCCCATCTGGGACCTCCTTCCGCCTCAGCCTCAAGAGAGGCTGCCTTCTGCAGCGGAATTCCTTTCGAAAGGCGGAATCCGACCCAAAAATACAACACAAATAGAACCAACCGACTAAAATCCCAAACACAACAGCACGGAGATGAAGCATATCACTAAAATCTGCACAGCCAATTCCCAGCAGGGATCAGACTGCTAAACAGCTGGCAGGAGACGAACACTTTCCGCCCTGCCTTCAGCCAGGGAGAAAGAGAACAGTGCTGGATGTCTCCACGACCGGGGAGCGGGGGGGTATGGCCAGTGTGCTTCGAATGGCAAGCCAGCCTTCTGCCGTCCGTGGAGCAGGTAAGCCAAGCAAGCCCCTTGCTGCTGAGGGGCTGGTTCTTACCGCAATGCCCTCTGCCTCGTACTCCTCCTGCTCAGACTTCAACGTGAGCTCGATGAAGAGCTGCTGCAGCTTCTCGTTGCAGTAGTTGATACAGAACTGCTCGAAGCTGCAAAAAAGCAAGACAATCATTCGGCCGAGGCAGAGAGCGAGAGGGCGTGAAGTTTAGCTCTGCTCAGAATACTCCCCAGCCCCAGGGGCACAATCGCCGCCTCAAGGAAGTCACACTCATCTCTCCATGGGCAGCTCCTTGACTGTGCTCTCCAGTGGGCCGGCGGTGCTTACTGTGTTGCCATTAAGACAGGCACAGGAAGGGTGACTCCTGGCAGTCCCTAATCCCCCTGGAAGCTTTGCAACCTCCTCCGGGGCCTGGCACTCTTCTGCAAAGGGTCTAAGGCCCATGCATAACTCCCCTCCCTCTCAGCTGACAGGGAAGAGCAGCGGCCGAGGGTGCTGGGCAGGGGTCATTTCCTGCAGGAGCACACAGGAGCAGAGCTCTGGCAGTAAAGGGCCCAGGGGGTGGGCACATGCAACAAGCCCCGCCCCCTGCTCACTGCAGCCTTGGGCCACAAGGAGCAAGAAGCAGCCAGGTAAGTTGCAGCCCCCCCCCCCCCCCCCACCCCCACACCAAAAAACACACG